CGATACAATATATATAATTATAATGAAATTTTAAAAGAAATAATATAATATCAGAATTCAAATTTAAATAATTGTTTTCGTTACGTTGATGATGTTGGCGGTAATGTGTACGGGACCCCACAAGATGTCATTTTGGTTGTGTTAAGCCAATTTTTTAAAATCCTTCGGGGCAAAAAACACAGCAATATTCCATGTTTTTGGCACCTCACCGGCCAAAAATCACGGTATTGTTGTTGTTGTTATCGTTGCTGGTGGTGGTGGTGGTTGTTGTTGTTGTTACCCCTGCAATTTTTTTCTGTTTCGTAGTGGCCGAAAATCTTCAAATAGGCGGTGTGTTCGCGTTTATTTTCAAATTCTCGGAGCAAACAACACCGTAAATACCGATATTTTTTTGCCTCGGAAGCCCAAACCCACAATATTTATGATGTTTTTTGTTTCTGGTAGCAAAACACCGAGCAAAAACACTGGCATTTGTGCAGTTTTCAACATGTTGCAAGAAGTGATTTTTCCATGCAAGTCACAAAACCCGTTTTGGGTCTGACTTTAGTTTTTTTTTTTAGGGGTTTCTGACGGGGTGTAGGGAGGGAATTTCATTGGAACGGCTACAAACAAAATGAACAAATATACAAAAATATATTCAATCCCATACAAATGCAACCCTAGCGCTCAGGTGCGGCAAAACAATTTCATTGCACATAGACATAGACTCCGGCTTTTAACGAAATGTAAACGGCATCAATTCCACGTTATCTATGTCCTGCAGCTAAACAATTCCAAGCATTTTAGAACGGATGCCTAACATCTATCCGCTCAAGGGATCTCAAGGGGACAACAAAGCATGATGTGATCGGCTTGCCTCCAATTGTACAGTATTTGTTTGGCCCGGCATCCCCTTTCCAGGGCTTTGCCTGGCAGCCTCTCAAGCTTGCCTTCCTCCAACTGGTTTTAATATATTTTTTTCTGGTCCTGCCTTCATACAGTTACAGTATGTAGGCATGAAATGGCATGAATACACACACACATACAAATGCACGTAACACATACATACACACACATTATTTTGAAGATAAATGAAGTCCAATATCATTCTATAAGTTTATAAGACTCTAGATTTTGATGATGAAGCTGAAGAGATGTTCTCGAACCAGCGCAAGTGCAACGAGATTCTGATTGGGATGTCTCCTGCAAGTCAGCGAGGCCATGCCATGTGCTTTCCACAAGGCAAGTTGCAACTTGAAACCTGGAACAACCACATTTGTAACATCTGAGGCATGAAAAATAACCATATCCCATCCCACTATACTGGTTGGTTAATATTCGTACTATGGGTTTTACCAATCCTCAAAAACAAGTCAGTACATCACCCTATATATGTTTATATATTGACCCATCAGCAGGTGTATCATTCATGGCTCATCTATCCAAAGCTGACCCTAGGTACTCTTTAACCTAATCATCATTCCTGGAAGGATACTGTAATTCATAGATCGAAAAGAAAAAACACACTCTTCAACGGTTTGCCAAGAACCACCCTCGACCATTACCTCCGTTGATCAAGCATTCCAAGAAAAACTGTGAAACTCAAGACCTCCATTCATAGCGGATTTCCCAGCTAGCCAAATTTGATTACTGGAGGATAAATGCCATTCAAAAAAAATCAGGGATTCTATCTAGCAACAATCTCACCTTGTCAAAAGATGTTAAAAGGCCGTTCTGTTGGTAAAATCACCTTGTCGCTGATTGCTGTTGGGTCACATTCACAGTTTTGTTCTCGTCATCTCACTGGAGATCTCTCATTCATTGCGTGGGAAAAATGCATGAATCACTCCCTACAATGATGTGAAGGTATAGCATCAATTAGTTACACACACGTTTCTATATAATTATATAAATCATATATGTATAACTATGATATAATTATATAGAAACGTATATGTTACATATATGTGTGATTTTCTATGTACATATATGATCCATATAGGAATCATTGCCCCTAACCCAAAAACCCAAATTCCGCACCTTAGGAGTCCAACCTTGGCACGTTTGAAGGTTGGAAGATGAGCAACAAAAAAGGGATACCACCAGCAGGGAAAGGAAATGTGTGATACATTGTGATAGCATATAATCCCAGAGTAGTACTCCTGGTTTATCTTCGATCATCTTAGCATATCTTAGCTACCCTCGATGTTTATTGTGTTCTTTGAAGTTACTCCAGTACCAATCCCAAAACACCACTGTCAGCTGAGACCACACCTCGAAATAGTTGTTTAAGATTTGCCCGGGGAAAGCGCCCAAACCATCATCCCTATCATTGGGGGAGTTCACCTTTTCGGGGGGTGCAATGACTACAGCATGCAGGAAGAGAATACAACTTTCAATTAGCAAAGGACAACTGAGTAGTGTTCAAAAGACTTGTTAGTTGATGATGGTGGGTGGTTAGACTATCCATCATATATGTTTAACACACATACACACACTAGACAAGAATGGATCATTATATGATCCGGCAGGAACTGAATCCTGAAACATGCAAACCAGCCTAGATCGTTAGATTAATGCAGGTACGTTTACACGGGTCCCGGGGGGGTGTCTTCGGTGGCCACCGACCCCCCCGGGACCCCGGTGGCCCCCTGCATTAACTTTAATTTAGAATTAGAAAGGGAGAGGACAAAGGAAGAAAAAGAGAGAGAAGAAGTTTTACATCTATTTAGATGTTACACACACACCCGGCCGGAGCCGGGTCAACCCTGAAAGGCAAGAGGAAGAAAAAAGCGGACACACGACGGGCAGACGGCCAAAACAGCGCAGGGGGGGGGGGGGAACAGACGGACCTCCAGAACCAACCTACACGGCGAAACGGACCTGACAAAAACAGCGCACACACCTAAACCCAACAACACGTTACGGAGAGGCACGCGGGGAGAATTAGGGACCAAATGGGGACTAGTTGATGACAAACAAAACCAAAACAAGTAGTTAACAAACAGGACTCAGTCCCTGAATGCCTAAAAGGTCGTGCGATTATTCCCTGCACCGGGACCGTGGTCAAGTCTTGCCCCAATGGCATAAAACAGCGTCCAAGTTCCAACGAATTAGATGCACAATATGTTTCACCTCACCAGGAAACCAAAAGGAAGAATACCACACCTGAAAGACGTGTGCCTGCCTGCGTTCTGTCTCTTGTAATGTGACTGGAAAGGTTGCTGCAAAAACGGAGGTTTCTGGCAGTTCGGATTGGCTTCACTTGACAGAGTGCAAAACGCTAGGATCCCTGGGACCACAGGAGCCGCAGGACTGCGTCAAAAGTGCAAAACGGTAAGGCCAGCTGTTGCAGTTTACTTAGATGAATTATCAACTTAAAATGTGTTAATTCGGCAGTCAAGACAGTCGTCACTCACCCTGAAAAGGGTTGCCTCAAATGGCTCCATGGCACCATGTCGGAGCCACCATGGAAATCACACTAGACAAGAATGGATCATTATATGATCCGGCAGGAACTGAATCCTGAAACATGCAGACCAGCCTAGATCGTTAGATTAATGCAGGTACGTTTACACGGGTCCCGGGGGGTGTCTTCGGTGGCCACCGACCCCCCCGGGACCCCGGTGGCCCCCTGCATTAACTTTAATTTAGAATTAGAAAGGGAGAGGACAAAGGAAGAAAAAGAGAGAGAAGAAGTTTTACATCTATTTAGATGTTACACACACACACACACATACATACCTACCTACCTACCTACATACATACATACATACACACACACGCATATGTGTATATATATATGCACACTAATTCTGTGTGTATCAAATAAGTAATTAGATATACATGTTTTATACATAGATACAGTTAGAAGATACATACATATTTTGTATATACATATTTCCAGAACGGCCCCTCATGGGGGAGTGATTTTCTTACTACTTAAATCACTCATTGTTACACAACTGAGTGTTCCCGGCTGCCAACTTTCCAATGTGGACATATGTTTAAACGTGCTTAAACACGTGTTTAAACAATTTGTCCGCAACCTTGCAGATTCAGAAAGAAATCCAACCGTGTTTGATTGCCCTCGGGGAAATCGACAACTTGGAAATCTCCAACAGCCGGGGACGTAGCGGCATTGCTTTGCTTATTGTGGCAGCTCTGTGTGTTGCACCAGCCCGAGACTTAGACACGTTGCAGAGATGTGGCACATGACACAGAGAGTGTGAGAGAAATGTAGTAGACATGGGTGGACAGATACAACTGACATGGCTTTGCGTCAGAATACTCCAGTTTATGGCCATGTGATGTCACTTTTGAGAGGAATGAGGTTAAACATGTCGTCCGCAACCTTAACGTTCGCCCAGACTGATCACTGTGACATAACAGAGACAATTCTGTGTTGCTGGGAAGTTGCGAATCCAAGCAAGGCCAAGGGGAAAAACTAGGCCACGGTGGCATGTGAAAGATACCTTGAATACAGTTATCTTCATGAGGAAACAATATCACCTGATCACCATGAGGGAACAAAATCCGCCACCCCCTATGACCAATATGCTGGACGGGCTAACAACATCAACTTTAGCTTCATGAGGGATCAAAATTAGCCACCCCCTCTGAAAAATACGTTGATTGCGGGACATCAACTCCGGGCAAACGTCCAGGTTGCAGCGAACAATTTTAAACATGTTAAAATGTCAAAGCAAGGTCACAAGATCCGACCCCTCCAATATCAGCGTTGCCATGTCCAGAATCCGATGAAGATTCGTTTAAACAGTTTAAGCATATGGACCCGAGCTTTAACCGTGTTCAAACAGTTTGATGTTCAAACGGTTATGTTTAAACCGATTTGGAGCGATCCTGCTTGCTTGTTTTTGCTGGTGCCTGTCAATATTTTGTGAGATCAGAATCATCAAACCTACACAGGTACCAAAAAAACAAAATAACAAACATGTCTAGCAACTACCCAGGAGGGGATCCAAAGTTCCTAGCAAATTTGGTTATTATTTTTTTTTTTG